GGTAGTCCAAAGGTGTCTTCTGCCCTCTCCTAAGGGAGGGCCTACCTTGAGGGGGGGCTCTTCTGAAAACTCTTGCTTAACTCTTAAAAGGTGAAAAATTGCTTATGCACAGGAGGCCCCTATTTCTCTGCCCCCCTCCTATAGTTAACACTAAGCACTGTTCCAAGTCACTGTGAATCTGGTAGCAACTACCTTGGCTTTAATTATTTTTAAAAAATTATTTAAAATTATTTCCTTTTCCTCATGACTGGTGAGGCCAGGCCTCTAGTGACTGCACGTCCCTGGATCTGTTGTACTTGTGACTATACACATTTATTTAATTTTATCCTAAGATATATTTATTTTATTCTATTGTATTAATTTATAAAATTATATGTCAACTGTCTTATACAAGAATACCCTGTGGCTCAAAGTAATGCTAAATAAAAACAGAATAAATATAGCAAACTAATCCCATAACAACATCACATATTCCAAACACAGTGATGGAATGTTACAGACATTCTTTGAAATTGCATTAATTGAGATCACTTTTATCCTAGTCAAAACGTGACTGAAGAGGTTTTAGAAAATTCACAAAATCCAAAGAAATGAGGTGCTAGCAAAATAGTCCACTATGCTGATTTTTTATTTTAATGAGTGATTTTATTTTCAATAAATCTACACATTCTACCCATATAAAACTTTACCCATATAAAATTCTACCCATATAAAATTCTACCCATATAAAACATGAGAAACAAAATACATATTTAGATAAAATGTAAGGCACATAAAAAAACATGAAAAAACAACCTATGTTAAAAGAAAGAAAATCACATTCTAATTTTTCCTTATTAAGTCACAAACACAATAGGAGAAAGTAAATTGAACAAGAGGAGTTTGAATACCAAAGTGAATAATAATAACATTGCCACTTTTTATTTTGCTTAAATGTATCATTGTCACTTTGAAAAAGCATTTGTTATGCATATTTGTTGATAATGTATGTGTAGGAGAGCAGGCAAAAAGGAAGGTGGAGTTAAATAGGAAGGTGGATTAAGGTGGCATCAGTTTGAAGTTGTTGCCTTGCCATAAGAGACCCATGTCTTGCTGTCCTCTAATTCTGTTGACCCTTATTTAGCATTAATTTACCCTGACTCTTAGTTGAGTAGATTCTTGTGTACAAGTTGCAATAATAAATTCTTCTATGGTTTGAATCTGGTTGTTACTGGCAACTGATAGTATGTATTTTTATCATAATTATTTTTTCTTACAGTTCTTTTTTCTGTTCCTGTTATTATTTTTAAACTAATAAAATAAATACATAAAAATAATCCTATAATGCAAAAGCATTTGCTATGGATTTTTGTTGGTAAGATATTTACTGCTATAATGATAACTTTTCCATTTTTTTCTTTTTTTGTTATTATTTGAAAATAAAGAAATGAATAAAACTAATTACAAAATAATTTTAGAAAATAATCATAGAAAAATTATATATTTGCATTCCAGACATGTATATTTGTTCTAAATGTCCAGAAGACCAATATGCAAGCAAGCACAAAGATTCATGTCTTCCCAAGAAAATATCTTTCTTGTCCTATGAAGAACCAATAGGAATAAGTCTGGTCATTCTGGCACTTTTTCTTTCTTTGTGCACACTTGCAGTGCTGGCTACATTTTTGAAATATCACCATACTCCCATCGTCAAGGCCAATAACAGAAATCTCAGCTATGTTCTGCTAATATCCCTCCTCCTCTGCTTCCTTTGCTCACTGCAGTTTCTCTTTGCACCTGGAAATATTATATGTCACCTCCGACAAATTAGCTTTGGCATCATCTTCTCAGTGGCTGTGTCTTCTGTGCTGGCAAAAACCATCACTGTAGTTCTGGCTTTCATGGCCACCAAGCCAGGATCCAGGATGAGAAAATGGGTGGGAAGAGGACTGGCCACCTACATTGTTCTTACTTGTTCCCTGATTCAAACAAGCATCTGTACAGTATGGCTGTTCACATTTCCCCCTTTCCCTGATATTGACACCCATTCAGAAATTGAGGAAATCATACTGTTTTGCAATGAAGGCTCAGATATTATATTCTACTGTGTCTTGGGCTACATGGGCTTACTGGCAGTGGCGAGTTTTACTGTAGCTTTTTTCTCTAGGAATCTTCCCAGTAGTTTCAATGAGGCCAAATGTCTTACATTCAGCATGTTGATCTTCTGTAGTGTGTGGCTCTCCTTTGTTCCTTCCTACCTGAGCACCAAAGGCAAATACATGGTGGCTGTGGAGGTTTTTTCTATTTTGACCTCTAGTGTTGGATTGCTGGGTTGTATATATTTCCCAAAATGTTATATAATAATTGTCAGGCCAGACCTAAACAACAGGGAACAACTCATTAAGAGAAAAAATAATGATAGAAATAACACACAAAACTCAACTTTTTAATATTTTTACTTAGTTGATTCTCTTTTAAAATTATGATTATTTTCATGTTATATTTATGTTATGAATATTTTTGGGAGATGAAGAATGGATGGAATATGCTTAAAATCAGAATTATCCCATCTTAGAATATATACAGTGCACTCAGAAAGTATTTAGGTTTTCCGGCACTGACATCGCTACAATGCAACATGCGATCTTGGAGCTCCCGGATTGCTGTTGAAATCTGTCACTGGATGATCCTTTTTGACCTAAACTATCCCGTAGAGATGGTGATAGAGAAGAGTACGTCCTGCTGATCTCAGGGGTATCGCAAAGCCAATCCCGGAGATTTTTTTCAGCTACAAGAGAAGCAGCCAAAGCTGCATAAGATTGGGACAGCCCTCCTGCAATGGAAGCAGAGCAGGAGAGAGAGAGTGTGTCAAAATTGGTGAGATAAATTTTATAATTAGAGAAAGGAACACTCAAAAAGAATTAGAGTAAAACCAAAATTGAAGATAGAAGAGAGCAAGCAGTGGATTAGCTTGAATTAAAACTATTGTGTTATCTTTTTTCCTTTAATTTCTTTTCTTTTCTATGGATGGAATTTTTACAAATGCCTCTTACTTTTAAATTGGACTGGTCTTTTTTTTCCTTCTTCTTATATTTTTTCCATTATTTTTATTTGTGGACTAAGAATCTCTTTCCTCTAAATGCTTGGCCGGATCAGAACTTTTTTTCAATTCTTAAACTTGGAGCTTAAAGATGGATCTAAAAGTCCATGATGATGTAATAAAATGCCATAATATAAATTTATTTTAAATTTAGTATGTAATAATAGCTGTATTCAATGAATGTTTACTAAGCATAATAACTGTATACATATATATTAGATTGATGATATGAGCAATGGAATGTACTGAAATGTGTAAGTTGACATATGATATTAGAGAAATTATTATAATATAATAATAATGTATACAAATATACTTGATTGACAATATGTGACTTTATATAAAATTTGAGGGATGACTATGGAAAGTATGCACAAAACCTTGTAACCATAGCAATAGTAGCAATAGCAGTTAGACTTATATACTGCTTCATAGGGCTTTCAGCCCTCTCTAAGCGGTTTACAGAGTCAGCATATCGCCCCCACAGTCTGGGT